AGTTTGGACCACTTTAGTCACTCTCAAGTATTTTTTGTATTTGAAATATTAATTATTCACCTTTATAAGTTTTGTAGATCGTAATGAATGGGAATTACTTGATTATAGAACTTCTTTGATCCTATCAAAGACTCATATCTTTGGAAAACTGCTAACTTTTTAGTAATAACCTGCAGAAGTTATATCCTCAAATTAGTTAGGCTTCTAGGAAGAAACAGGAATTCTACCAGTTTATTTGCAGTTATTGGTGCCCAAGAGGGGCACACTATGTATTGAAATGAAAGGTTAGCATACTTTAGCCACATACCAATTTTGATTCCTTTGTTAATTGGCTTCTCTTTTTCTAGTTTCAGCTCTTGCGGGGAGAAAAGATAACATTGCAGGTCAATAGAAATATTGACAATTCAACAGGGCTCACAAACTTTTAAACACCACTGTACGCCTTAATAATGCAGCGTTTGAATAAAGTATAATGCATCATACATTGTTATCAGTAAGAATAATTAGAGAAAGAGGGATTGTGCTACTTACCTGATTTAGGTTTAAAAATCTTTTTCATATGATAGTGCTCACATTTTACACACTGAAGACTAAAAAAATCTGCAATGTTAATAGATAATCACATCTGATTTTTATTTTTTGCAAAACAGAAGCAGTCTCAGATGCTTCTGGGAACTCATTAGAAATAAATGGAGCAAACACACTACAGGAATCCAAATACAAATCTATTTTTAAGGGAATCTTGAGCTTTTGCAGTAGAAGTGTTTGAACATCCATTCTATTAATTGTAGAAACTACTTAAGATATTCAGTGTCAGTGATCAAGGCCAAGTGTGGAGAATAACTATAGTAGTTCTACTTTCAAAATTCTTGAAAACCATTTAAGGATGTCAGTAGGAGGTAAATTAAAGCCATATGCATTAAGAAGCTAATAATTTGAAAAATGTACAGGAGCAATGAACCTTGGAGTTTGTCATGCACTGAAATGACTATTAGAAACAGCACTGTGTAGTCCTAAATAACAAAATAAAAGTAAAATGAAGTCTGTCTAAAGTTGAATCATCGTGACTTCAGTAATCCAAGCTCAACCTCAACACTAGTGAGCAAATCTCAGTAAAATTGCAAGTGTTATACTTTTTGGGGGGAGTGGAGAGAAATAATATCTGTTTTCATCTAAAAAGTTATAATGTAATAATGTTAGATGCAGAATTAAAAGCAAATCTTGTGTGCACAACACATTAAAACAATCCAGAATATTTCTTTCTTTTTGTGTTTTCTATTATTAGTTCTCTGCAAGAAATGCTCCTTTATCTGAATGACTTGTTTTCAAGTAACTATGCTAAGGAATGCACTATTGTGTGGTCATTCTTTCAGATCATATATTTAACATCTTGGATTTTATTCATATGCTTTACATTTTGATCAATACATTTGCTAAGTGCTATTGCTATAAACCAAAGGTCTCCAAACTTGACAGCTTTAAGATTTGTGGTCTTCAACTCCCAGAATTCCTCCTCTAGTCATGTTAGCTCAGGAATTCTGGGAATTGAAGTCCATAGTTCAGTTGCCAAGTTTGGACACCTCTGCTTTAAACAATCTATTTGCCAGATCAAATACTAGAAGTCAAAAAGGTACCAACACAAGGACCTGGGTTAGGCAGATTGGTCTGATGTTATTAAAAGGTATCATTGCAAGATGTAAGCTGTCTTAAATAAAGCTGCTTTTTGCAATTGATTGATAGCGATTTTGTCAATGCCAATTATATTCATGAAGTGCTCCAAATGTTTGGGGATTTTCCATGCCTGCCTATGCTCCTTGGTAAATAGAGTCTGTCAACATTGCTACATGGATGACTTTGGATTTTAAGATCTTCCTCTCTTGATATATTCACTTGTATTCTTCTTCTTGACTTTAGTGTGCTTGATGATGTCAGCTGGATGCCCAGATTTGTAGTGATCATCTTCATCCAGATTCTTGATGTTATTTCCACTGGTGGTGCAGTGGCTAGAATGTAGTATTGCAAGCTAACTCTGCCCACAGCCTGGAGTTTGATCCTGACAGGTTGACTCAGCCTTCCATCCTTCTGAGGTCTGTAAAATGAGGACCCAGATTGTTGGGGGGCAATATGCTGACATTGTAAACTGCTTAGACAGGGGTATAAAGCACTATGGAGCAATATATAAGTCTAAGTGCAATTGCTAAATGCTATAGGGCATCTTGATTCCTCCAGGTTTCATTCTTCTTCTTCTGTTAATTGTAAAAGTGGCATATTTGTCCAGTCCTAATTGCATTCCTGTGTCATAGGACCTTGCTTTTGTAATGGAAAGTGCATGGATGTGAAGCAACCAATAGTTGGACTTAATCTATAGGCGACTTCATAATTTTGTGATTGAGCCAATTCCTAAAATGTCTTTGATGTTGCCATATTACCAAGTTACTTCAACAGAAACTAGTGTAGTGAATTTGATGACAGCATTTTATAATTGCAAGAACAACAAAAAGTGTCTCGGGAATAGCCTTGAAGCTACGCTTCGTCATTTCTATGCGGTTAGGTTTGAAGTTTAATGGGTATGTGATATTTTTCTTTACTTAGACGAATACTTTTAATTCAGTCTGGTCTAATCTTCATTGCCATTTTTTATTTTACACAAGCAAATCTTGGCCTTACGTTATCAGAAAAGAAAAACTATTACCGTGGTTAATATTTGTGCTGTTTTTACTTTGGTCATTTCCTCTTTCTTCAGCTTATCATCCTTCATGTTCCCTCTATCTCTTTCTTCATTTTTCTTTAGGGAGAAAAAAGTTGGGAGTTCTTAAGGCTTTGCTGCCCCTGCCTTCTCTTTGTATTGATCAGTAATACTAAAAAAGAGATGAGTTAACACAAACCTGAGTAGACTCTGTAACCTTCCCCCCTTCCGCCTTTCTGGAAATGTAGATGCAATAACATTTGCAGTTGAAAAGGTTCATTCTCAGTTTCTAATGTTTAAGGATGCAAATGAAGCATTTTGTCTCTTCTGTGCCTGGAGGTGTTATGCAAGAAAACAGAAAGAGGTTTCTAGGATTAGTTCCACAGATTCCTTTTATCATGTAAAAATCTATGACGGATTTGATTGCCAGGAACTGAGGAAATCCTATATGGAAAAGATCTAAAGAAAATTCCTCCCATGTTTCACTTTCCTTCTATCTAAATCAGTAACCAGCTTGATCGTTACAGGGAATATTTCTTGGAATGCATGCAATTTTCTATTTACTTCAATTATTTGTTCTCTCTTGGTTTCATGTTTTTATATACTTCCTGATTACTTCAGTGTTCTGTTTGGAAAAGTATACAATTGTATTAAAAGAAAAATAGATTTGGATGCTCTGACTTTTGGAATATAAAAACTGTTTAAATCAGTCTGATAATTCTCCAAGATTTCAGCTCTCTTATTCTCTTTTAGTTTTAGTTGACTATGACAAAGAGTGAATGTGGGAATCCATGTGTTGTTTACAGTTATTTTATGCATTTATTTATTCCCTTCAATATTACATCAAGTAAGAGTGCCTAGAGTTGTCTTATAGGGGAGATGGGCAGCATAAACTTTTAACAAACAAACATTTAAGAGAGTCAGTTTGGTGTACTGCTTAAGGCATCAGGCTAGAAACGGAGAGACTTTCAGTTATAGTCCCACATTAGATGCAGAAACCAGCCCTAGGAAGAAGGCAATGGCAAACCACACAACAGCTTTCAGGAATGAACACTGTTGAAGGTACACACTTTAAAAAAATGCTTATTTCAAATAATGACATTAATTCAGCTTCACCCATGTTTGAGATTGGTCTGACTGTCTGTCTGTCTGTCTGTCTGTATCCATCCATCCATCCATCCATCTCAGATTTTTTTTTAATGTGTTTAATGGCAAGTAACGGCTCCTTGTAAGAATAGTATATTAGTTTGGGCTGAAAACATTTGGAGAAAAATACATACATTTGTTTGCTATTAACTTTTGGCTTAAAGATGTGAACTATCATGATCTGTATGATGGAAATGTATTGTTTCAGTCTAAGTTTTACAGAAGTTAAATTTGTAGAATCAGATATAGTAACCAAGTGGTAAGAAACCAAGTTATACACATGCATTTGTGACATATCCTTAAATCATTTCTTTGATATACTTGACTGTTTTGTTCTGCCTGAAGTAGGGCAGACTAATAAATAAGTAGTTTTATTATCTTATTAGTTAGCTAAATAATAAGCCCTATGAAAGACACCTATACAATTTTTGTTGCCATTATCACATTTTACTTAACACTTAGTTAGCTGTAACTATAATCCTCTTAGCATTCAACATCCTTTCAAGCACCCCATCTCTCCAAAAAGCCCATTATGTATTGTATATATGTCTGTAGATTGGGAAACATAATTAAGGGTTGACATAATAACATCTAATATATTTGAATGGAACAGTATATTCTTTATTACCATAAGTATCCAGATGAGTTTGTAAGCTGCAATATAGCATAAAAATAATTGTAGCTTTTCAAGTATTTCTTTAAGACATCAGTCTAAAATGGAAGATGTTCTTGATTAGTTTGAAGGTTTGTATTTAGAAATCTCTTGTTCTGAAAAAAAATTCAAAGTCCATTTTGCGTATCTTCAGCCCTTATAAAAGAAAAAAAGTTGTCATGTTAATTTTAAAGAACGTAGAATGAAATCCTGAACTATATTACATAACGTATCTTAGTATGTTCTTGTGGCATCTCAGAGTTATGAACCTAATTGCCCTTTTCTCACTAATGAGATGCTGTTAGATAAGTCAGGCAAAAATATAAAAATATCAAATTTTCAGCTAGTTTTCCTTGGTCTGGTTTTGATTCATACAAACAGTAATTATGGGATCTTTGCTTTCTCTTCTCATGTGTACTTTTAATGTACTGTTTCAAGTTAAAGTTACTTGTAGTATGTGAACTACGTTCAAAGAGGTCCATTGTAATATTCTTTCTTCCTTCTTTGTTTCTTCAGGCATCGGAAGGTGTTGTTTTCATAGGACCAGATATGCATGCCATTCAAGCAATGGGAGACAAGATAGAAAGCAAACTGTTAGCCAAGAATGCAAAGGTCAATACTATACCGGGTTATGATGGGGTGATAAAGGTAAGAATCTTTTTGAAATCGGGTATTTATATAACCTCATTTTTAATTTAAAAAGTCCTTCGTGGATTAAGATTAGGGTTAAGAATAAGATATATAATTACAACCTTCAGTGGGGCAGTGGGATGTGTGATGGAAATCTTTGCATATGATAAGTTGTTGAGATAAATAACACTCTTCATTCTGTATAAAAGAATAGTAAACTCAAAACTATAACTATGATCCGTTTCACATAATACTATATATGTGAGCTCTCTGGTCTTATGATTGTATAACTTTGTAGGATAATTGCAAGTACAAACAAATAAATAATAAATTAATACATCAATAAGAAAGGAGAAGCTTTTCTTCACACAAAAACAATGTTTTGAAGAGATAGTGATTTGTTTCCCCATAGAATGAAATGACTGCCATAGGTAGATAGAAGAAAGGAAAATTTGGGAAGGACCCTGCTGCATGTGTGAGTTAAACTACTTCCCTAGCCATAAAAATGAGATTGTGTTAACTCAGTTTTGAAAAGTTGCTTCAGAAGAGCATCGCCTTTAATGAGTCATTAACAGATGCTGCTTTTGCTTTTACATGTTATGAAGTATCTTTTAGAAATCAAATTAGGATTATGAGCCATCTGGGGTTTTGATTTAGGATGGGTGGCCATATAAATGTGTTAAAAAATCAAATCAAATAACATGAAACATTGCAAACCCCACTAAAAATGGTTAAGAATCAATTTCCTTAACTATGTAGTTTTGCCCTAGCCTCTGTTACTTGATCACTTAAAATATGATATAGTGGAGAAAGGTATGAACATTGTGGGACCTGTGAATGAAAAATGTCTGCTGTGCTTTAAATGTTAAATATAGTACAGGTGGTCCATGGTTAATGATCGATCACTCAGCAACCAGCCAAAGTTAAAGTAGCACTGAATGAGGAAACATACAGTCAGTCCTTGGACTTTTCATAGCATCTACACAGTCATGTGATTGCAATTTGGGCCCCAGCAACTGGCTTGTAATTACAACAGTTGTAGTGTCCCACATTCACTAGTTCTCCATCTTCCACCTTCATTGCCAGCTTTTGACAACAAAGTCAGTGAGGAGACTGGCAGGAAGTCACAGCTGACAATTGTGACATCACACCTATCGACTGTGCAGGAGTCACCTAACCATCGCAACTAGAATTGCCATTATAAGCCAGCATGGTCATGAAACATTATGCTTTATGACCATATATCACTTAGCAGATGGAGTTCCCAGAGCTAATTACCCTTGTTAACCAAGGACTGCCTGAATCTTGCTAGTCGTAACATTGTTCCCAGTTTCTTTTTCACACTTGGGATGAAAAATGGCCAGACGCCCCTCTTTTTAGTGCTGTTGTACCAAATGGTCACTAACTGAACGGTTGTAAGTCAAAGATATTCCTTTATTCCTTTTGTGTAGTGCAATAGCATAGAACAGATTTTGGGTTAGAATGAGTGCAATGGTAGGGTTACAGCTCGAGAAATGCAAGTGGTTTGGATATTTCCATTTTGGAGCCAGTCAGTGACTTTCACTTTAAGTTGCCTTGTTTTGAGCATACAAAGAAACCTTTGCAGAACTCATGGGGTGAGCGGGGCAATTGACAGAGTATGCATTGCATGATATATGCTTGGTTCTGACCCATAGCTAGCTGTGGATGTCTACGCTGAACATGTTTATACCTTGCTGGTATCTATTGTGGAAAAAAGTGTGAGTCAAACGCAAGGGTGTCAACAAGGTACAATAAAAAAGGTACAAAAACCTGTGATGGTGTCATTGAAACTCCATCTGTTTTTTGTTTTTTGTTTATTCTGGTAGGGTGCTTTTCAGTCACACCAATACAGCTTTTATTTGACTGTTTTGATCATATCCCTTTCCAGTGTTATTACCCTTAAGCACTTAAAATACAAAGGTAGTAACTTTTGGCTAAGTATTTTATACTTACACATGTTATGATATGATACTTAATGTAATATGAACCCAGAGTGGGATGGAGCCCTTTAAATGGCTGGTATGAGTGTGTGTTGTCAGCAGGATGGATGGTGGATGGGGGTTTATTATTTTATTATTGTTATTTCTCTTATTTTATATTTTTATCTGCTGAAAGCCTCCATCAGTTACCATGAGTGAGTAGGCAGCAATATAAAAACTTAAAAATAAATAAGCAAAATCTGGATTTAAGTTTTGTTTTATGGAGAGAGAGTGTAGATAGCTTTGAACAATATAATAGTTATTTATTCTTTTCACTACCTTTGGCCTTCAGTCCAAAGCATTTCCCATGACAGCCATTGCTAGATATTAAAATGGCCCAAATCCATAGCTACAGGACACCTATTTGCATAAAATTTGCCAGCACTGTTTTATATGGAACTGCAAACAGGGGCCAATTTCAATCATGAAATAAATTTTGCAATATTTTTTGATCTTGGTGTTTAGATTAGGACATCTTTGGGAATAATACCACCTTACTTACCAAGGCTGTAGTACAGACAAAAAAAAAAAAGAAGCATAACATTTGAAAGGTGTTCTGTACGTGCTAAATATGATCCTATGTTGTATATAGACATTAAGGTAACTACTTGAACAAATAATGCAACCAAAATAAAGATTTGGTTATGGAAGCCATGTACAAGTATAAATATTAATGGGTCTTAAAGAAACTGTAGGACTCTAGGCTTCAGTAGAAATGTTTAACATTTATTTGTCATTATTCTTCCATCTATTCTGTAGAGTAGATAAAATATATGTATGCTGATGCTGATTTTGACTTCAGAATCTTGATATCTTTAGTTCTGCCTTTCTTTGAGAATGTATAAAATATTTCCCCCTTCACCTGAACAAAATATGCAAGCATACATGCCTATATTTAGAGTACATCACTTGAAGTCATTTCATTTGTTTACATTTTCACAAGGAGAGAATAATTTGGGGCATTAAGTCTCGTGTCTCCTTTTTCAAGAGATTCATCTTTCTATAGGTGGTCCATAGGACCTCATTGGATGTGTCCATGCAGTAGGTATGGATGGTTGTGTGTCAAGGGAAGGAGATCAGTTTATAAACACCTCTTTAAGGATCCCCACCTATATGCCAATTAAACTTAGAAAAATGTTAATTTTCCTAAGCTTTTGCCTTTTGGCAAAGGAATGTGATAATCTTCAGAGGAATAACAAACTGGAGAGTTAGTTTGTCTCCCTTGTTCCCTATAAAACCTCCCTCCCCCAAGTGGTGAGCTATTTGCACCAATGTTAAATCTGAAGTCTAATTGAAAGTCGGACCTGGGTAATAAGATGATCTAGGATTGCAGCATAAGGAGAAGATGGAAAAAAGTGTAACTACCCTTTTCTCCATATCAGCATAATATAGACATGCAGACCCTGCATGGCAATGAAGCTTGGGGAGGAAAAAATATTTTTCATTGTTAATTCTTAGAGCAAAAGAATTAGAAATGGAAAAGATGTTTCTGTTTGGTTTCCAGAACATGTACCAAGCCTTAAGTTCAAACTCCTGTTTCTGGAGATTCTTACTGGATTTGTTTATAGACCAAGAGGACATAAATAGGAGCTTAATATCTCAATGATTGGGAATGTTTAGAAGAAAAAACAAATAACACGGATAGAAAAATGCTGGGAAAATAATAAAGGAAGATTTCTTAACTTTTTCTGTTTGTTCTTTCTCTTTTCAGAAGTAGACTGTCTTTTAAATAGAATAGAGTAGGTCTGATGCATCTATGTGTCTGACTAGAGGAAGAACATTTATTATTCTAATATTTTTACAAAGTGGGCTGATAGAATAGTGAAACAGCTTTTGTTTTTGAAGGCTGGGAATTATAGCTTAACACTTGTAATAAAAGGAGTAATAAAGAGTAATTTTAGTGCTGCTTTGAAATGTAAATGCCATACAGTAGCTAGTTGACTTCTTATAGGCTTGAAGTCTGAAACAGTTATTCCCGGGTTCACAGGTAACTAAAAGAGAGTGGAAGAACTAGATCGCTTCAACTTTAAAATTCTGTTAATAAAGCTACGCATGATTTTTGGGGGTAGAAAAAGACATGAAAGTTTCCTCCTTGGCTTTACAGTAATCAGGCATTTCGTTAGTCCTCACTCTTCCTGCATTTTATTCAAGAGGCTCTAATTGTCTGTATTTGGCAGGTTTAACACTTCCTGACAGAGAGGCTATTAAGGGGAAGTATTCTCACATAACTGTCACAGGCAGGAACAAAGAACCTTCAGACTCAATGTGTGGAAATCACTAACATTCTTAAATGACCCTTTTCATGCATTTTTAAAAGTCCCTCCAAGCTAGAACTTGGTGCCTGCCGGGGGCCGCAGAGAAAGCAACAAGGTGTAACAGTAAACCTTGATTTTATTCTTTCCTGCTTTTTGGGATGGATTTCTGTTTGGTTTAAAAGCAGTTTTTGTTTGTAAAATCTCATTAATAGATGTGCCAATTTGAAACACACATACACACAAAGATACCCACACGTGATACTAGTTTCAGGGTTGCTTTGAAATTAACAGGCACTATTTGCAGAGGAGAATAGTTAATGAAAGGAAATTAAATTTTCTAACTATTTCCTGAATCAGCTTCCTTAATCTTCCTCACACTCTTAGTAGGTACTAAAATGATTTTGTTTTAATGATTGATTAGGAAAAATCTTTCACCCCCTCTTTCTTTGAGGCAAGGAGAACTCTTGTTCCATAGAAAAAAAAACCCAATGTTTTAAAATATCAGTTTTCATTTTAATGTTCAGTCCCTACAGATTAAGTCATATAGATTAGCTGGAGTGTTCTGAATATACTATATACCAATCCAGCAGCAGTTTTAAAAACAAGAGTGAATTGTAACAAAGAATTGTGAGCTCACCTATTTACTTTGAATTTTAGAAAGGCAGGCCTACTCATACTTATTCTAGTTTTTTTTTTTTCATTTCAGTAGGAGAAATAGTTTTGGTTGCTATTCTTGAACAGTTGAGTGTCAGAAATCATCACTGATGTGGTCAGAGGAGATCTTGTGGATTTGTTCAAGATTGTAGTTCAAGATTTGTTTGAACTACTGGGGATTGGGATCCTCTATAGAAAAATGAAGCAATAATGCCCTTTTAATCATTATTTGAACTATGTTTTGTTACTTTCTCCACCCATGTATCATATTCAGAATCTTAATTCTAAAATAAAAGTAAATAGAGGTAACAGTTTGTATTCTGTTGTTAAAATGCCAATTGCTATTAATGTTTGTGAGTCGAAGTTTAATTTAAGGTTAGGATTACTTTTTGAATTATTCTTTCACCCCATCACTCAATTTCACTCAATTTATGCAACTTTCACCCTTCACTCAATTTATGCAACTTTTCTGTGAATCTTCTAAGACGTGTGTTGATGCTGAAGCTTAGCCAAACAATAGAGAATCAACTCCCCCTGCTGACTATATCTAGGCCAACATGATACAAGGGTACCTAAGAAGACAAGAAGAAACTAAAAAAAAAAATCAAATAAAAAGGGTATTAGCTGGCTGCTGTCAAATCTTAGTGTTCTAATCTTTGCTTCTTCGTGAAACCTTCTAAATTCAATAATTTGAGCAACTTGAGTAATCCTTCTGTAGTCGTGTTGTTTGTTGTTTTTTGTTTCACTAAGTGATTCTTTATTGCTCAAGGGCTGTGTAATGCAAGTGACAAGGTAAAATTTACATTTCATTGGAATTAATTTTATATTTCTCTGAATGAAGTGGGTCAGAAGGTTGTAAAATCAAACATTAAATGTATTGAAGAAGGCAGTATAATATATCATTGCCTCAGAGACATTGAACAGCACTGATGGGATTAATGGTGGGTCCAATTTCCTGCTTTTACAGGATGCAGATGAAGCTGTCCGAATTGCAAGGGAAATTGGTAAGTTAGGGTTTCTTTACATGGGGACTGTAAGAGATGCGCATGCTTTTCAGAAGATGCTCTTGACTAAATTATCCATTTAATCAGGAATCTCTTTGGAATACATGATTTTTGGTTTTCAAATTCTCTATTGCTATAAGAACTGGGAGATGTCCTTTGCACTTTAAAACTTAATTCTCTATTTATATCTACATAAATGTCATTTTAGCAATTTATGTTGCAAACAGGATGACCTAATCTGTTTAAAAATTGGGTGTTTCATGAGTTTGTCTAAAATGTGTTATAAATAAGTTGCTGATTCTTAGAGAGCAGATATAATTGTGCTTACTCTAATTTTTCCAAAACCACGTGTTGATCTGTGATACAATATAGGCTTTGGTGAGCTACAAGTAAGGATAGAATTTATGTTCATTGTACCTCCAAATTTGATTTTTTAAAAATAATAGAACCTTCTTACTTGTTTTACAAAATGAATTCTTACTGAAATTGAGTGGAGTTTATGTTTTGAAATATCTTTCTCTGGATCGTTGTCTTGTATTTTGACAACTTCATTCTTACAGAATAGATTTTTTTTAACCATTTGAAATTTTGAAGTGTAAGAAGTAGCCATTCCTTCAAAACTGCAGTTCTCTAACGGTGACAGTAATCATGCAGTTTTGCTGGCAGTGTTCTGTCTTGGTCTGGATGTCCAAGTACAAACCAGAGCTCATCCTGCTTAGCTTCTGAAATAAGATAAAGATGACTAAATGTTGCCACCTGCTAAGGTGGCATTGTAGACTATAATTCCAATTAAATTTAAACTTATATTTGATCTTGGCCTATATTATGTGATAGTATCTTAGAGAGACTAAAGTTTATTCAGAAATCTTTGTCCAGTTGTTATTTCTTAGTCTTAAGTAACCTATACGAAGAGGGAGAACATGAACATTATAAAATAGAGATCCAACCTAGATATGAGGAGAATTTCATGAGAAGAATTAATCAGTAGATGGCTTGCCTTCAGAAGTTGTAGGTGCTCGATCATTGGATAACCATTTGTTTGAAATGGTCTAAGGTTCCCTGCTTGAACAGGAGATTGGATTAGAAGATCTCCAAGGTTTCTTCTAATAATTCTAATGAGTTAAACAGTTCTGCTTTCCCTCTGTTGCCTTTTACTTCCTTGCCGTTTTCTCTCTTTAGTGGACCAACTGTTTCCTTGATTTTTTTCTTGTTATTTATATATTGGAAGAACCTTTTTAAAAATTATCTTTGACTTTTGTTGCAAGTCTTTGTTCGTTCTGAGCCTTTGCTTTCCTGACTTTGTCTTTGCAGATTCTGGTATCTGCTGATATTCTGCCTTAGTTGTATGTCCCTCTTTCCATTTTTTGTACTTGTCCTTTTTTTCCTTTCAATTTGCCAGAGAGATCTTTGTGCAGCCATGCTGGTTTCTTCTTGGATTTCTTGTTTTTCTTTCTCAGTGGTATTGTGCTGGTCTGGGCTTCTATGATCATACTTTTCAGAGTTTCCCAAGATTCTTGAGTTGTTTTCCCCTTTAGGATTTTCATCCATGAAATCTTTCCCAAATTCTCTCTGAGTTTATTAAAATCAGCTCTTTTAAAACCCAAGACTCTGATGTCATTAATTCTGATTCTAATTCTAATTCTAATTCTAATTCTAATTCTAATTCTAATTCT